TATATATATATTTTATATTGTTGCACAATAATTTAATAAAGGCTGAAGCACTTGTCATGTCGGGTTAAGCGACTCCACAAATTTTTTTCTAATATATATATATATATTAATTGTTCCTATCGTTGCACAATAATAGAGGCTGAACCATTTGTCATGTCAGGTTAAGTAACCCCACAAAAATTTTTCTAATATATATACATATATATTAATTGTTCCTATCGTTGCACAATAATTTAATAAAGGTTAAAGCACTTGTCGTGTCGGGTTAAGTGACCCAACAAAAAATTTCTATTTTTTTCCTTTTCCTTTATGTTTGTCCTTGACTCCTTTCTCTATGTTATCTCTCACTTTTTGAACTAAAATATTTTTTTCTCATATAAATCAGCCTAAATAAACCCTTCCCAAATATCCAATTTTCAATCTCAGTTCTCCATTCTTCAATCCATATAAATCCTTCTTCCCCAATCTCTTCTCTCTATTCTTCAACCAAGTATGAAATTTTAGATTTAATAATGTAAATTGTATCATAAGGTTTCATTTTTTTATTTTTATTTTTGTCAATAAGATAAATTTATAATTACTTTGGTTAGTCCCTGAATTAATGATTGATTCTTGAAAAGGAGGAGTAACAGTGTGCTTATTATGTTTGTTTTTCGATATAAGGACAGTGGTAAGCCAATAATGACAATCAAACAAATAACGCTGCCTGTACTGTTTGTAAATTATAGGTTAATATCTTGTCAATGCCTTCGAAGTACAAACTGATTGTGATCTGCTAAATATGAATAAATTGCAAAGTAGAGAATTTCTCTTTTTCCACGTGAGATGGAAAGATAGGCAGATATTGCGTTTAAAATTGGTATACTTCAAACTGATTATTATTATGATTATGACTTTCGGTGGCTTCTTTCCAATTTTGTCTTTGTTTTTTTTCAAATTAAATTTGTCTACTACATTTATTCTGTTAATCAGTTGTGCACTTGGCCTGTTTGCTTGCGTAAGTCCATTGGTGCTTTAGTCAAATAATATTGATTGGTACGTCCACAATAAGAAATTCACATTGCGAACACTAAGCCCCTGTTTGTTTCTCAATTTTTACACATTAAAATGAAAAATATGATCGTTTTTTATCATATCAAACTCCATATTTGACTTCTATCTCTTGTATGAAACCCTAACGACTATATTTTTTATTTTCATTTTTATATTAATGTGACTTAACGGGGCATAAATATCTAATTTTAGAAAATTGCATTTTCTAGAGAAATTAGTGTCATTTTCAAGTACGAACTTCATTCTCACTTTAGAGATGGCAACGGGACGAGTATAGGATGAGTCGACCATTCTCACCACCCGTTTCGTCTGATATTTTTGTTATTTTACTCTCATACTCATACTCGATCAAAGCGAAATGGGGTGAGGCTGGTCCCATGCCCCGTTTATTTTTTCTTTATTTTATGTTTTGCTTTTATTTTATTTTTTTGTCCCTACTTAGTAAATATTATAACTTTTTTACCAATTTGTTAAAAAACAACTTATATTCTCTTTAAAAATGATGATAAATCTATTATTTTGAAATTAACTTTAAACAGGGTGGGTAACAGGGTAGGGACTATGTTTCCCGTATCTGTCTCATACCCGCTTTGGGACAATGACTATCGTCCCATAGCCGTCCCATTTACCTGGTTAGGCAAGTAATCCCCACTCTATTTGAACATGGCGTCAAGTTGAAAGGTTTTTGTTTTTTTTTTTTTTGCCATCCCTATCTCACTTCCAAGTAAGCAATAGTTTTCCCTGACTTGTTGATTTTAGAATTATTTATGGAATTGATTGTGTATTTATGATTATAATTCTTAGTTGGAATAGAGTATTAGAATTGACCTTGAAATATAAATATTTATTTGTCTATTTGAATTTGATTTCGTAACGGCCATAGGGAAATATTTCGAACGAAAAAATAATTTTTTAGTGGAAGCAATATATTGGTGAAGCGAAAATTCAAGATAAAATAGATAT